GGGTGCACATGATTCACGGGGCGCTGCCTGTCCCGCATACGGTCCCAGCGGGGTCCACAGGTGGGTCCAGCCCCGAGGATTTCATCCCGCCCTCATGCTCTCTACCGCGTACTGCCTGGCTGATAAGACACGCTGGCGCAGTACGCCACGACGAACGGATACTCCTCCCAATAATAAAACATACCTAGTTAGAAAATCCTGCATATTTCTACGTCTGGTATTTTCTCAATCTGTTTCCCAGACAGAAAGCGCAAATACCGGATTGTCCGGTTCAAAACCAGACACCTGGCAAACCTCCCGGGGGCAGTGGGGCTCTCCATTACCCTCCATCCTAGAGCTGCTCCCGGAGGACTAGGCCCTGAGCAGCCTTTGCTCAAAGCCGCCCCCCAAGAACAGGAAATGGGGCTGGGCGGGGGAGGAGAGACGAACCTTCTGCAACTCTTCCTTTTTGGTCCCCAGCAGTTCAAACAGCTCCTTGGGCACAGTGTGGGCTGGGGGGAGAAACGAGCCAGAGGTGAAGGGCAGCCCCTGCCTGCCTGCCCCACGTGGGCCTCAGGCCCCTCAGCGCTACAGCTCAGCCTCTTCCTCACACACGAGGAAGCGGGGCCGGGCGGTGACTGAACGGCGCCTCCCCCGTCCCTGCGCGACCCACTGGACCGGTGTCGCTCAGCCATTCCTGAGGCCTCTGCCACGCCCCCCCACTACAATTCGTGGGCAGTGGGACGCTGCCTAATCGCCTTTCTGCGTGGCGGGCTTGGTAGACGTGAGCTCAAGGTGGCCACGTGGCTGGCTCTGCTTTGCCTCTCCCCTGTGTGCTGCACCAGATGGGTTCAAAGGAACAGCTGCTCTGGCCCATTTTGGTGCCAGAGCTTCTAGGGCTGGCTGCATCCTGGTGTGTGGTGCTCCGCCACCACCGCTGCAGGGTGTTATAGCAACAGCCCGCGAAGAAGGAGCAAGCCTGCAGCTTTGTTTGTGCAGCCGGTTCGGGCCCTATGGCCCGTGGACACAGCCCTGTCCCGTAAGCAGCCAATGTTTCAACCTAAGCAGGCCTGGGGGGAAGAAATGGCTTCTGCCAAGCAGCATGCACCCAAATCTCCCAGCAGGTGGGGCGGCTGGTGAGGTAACAGTGCAGCGAAGGGGAGGAGGAAGGTAGCTATGGGAGATGCTACGGCAGTTTTCCACTCTCTCCCTCATGAGCTCCCTGGCTGGGGCTGGTCCCGGCAGCTCTCGCTGGCCCCAGGCCTTGCTCTCAGCGCTCCACCTCCTCGGTGGTCAGAGCAAGAGCTTCCCGCAGGGGGACCAGCTATGGAATAACCTGCCCCATGGGGAAATCGCTTCCTGGCAGTGAGCATTTGGCTTCTGCCCTGGAGCAAGCGCCCTCAGGCTTGTCCTGCTGCTCTGAACAGGGGCTGTCAGTTCCTGGCCCCCAGGAGATGCGAGGGAAGCTCACGCCCAGGCCCTGTTCAAACACTGGCCTTTCCTTGAGGCTGCCCAACGGGAGCTGGTCCGCTGGGGACAGGGTCACCACAGAAACATGTGAAGCCAGGACCGAAACCTGCTCCTTCCTGCCATCCACCTGGCACCTGACCTGAGCTGGATTTGAACCAGGGTCCTTGACGTGAGAGCGCATGGCTCTGCTTCTCTGCTGAGCAGGGCCCTAAGCAATATGGGGGGAGGGGCATGCTGGGCCCAGAAGGGGCAGTGCCTTGGATGAAAAGGGCAGGGGGGGGAACCAGCCCTCCACCCTACCCACACCATGCCAGGTTGGCCTCTGCTGGCCATTTAAAGTGCCCGGATCCCTGGCCCCTTTGAAATCACCAGGCCCCAGCGGGCGACTGTCACCCCCTGTCGGCAGCCCTGCTTCCGAACCTCCAGCGGGTGCGGCCTGCGCGCCGTTTCCTTGGTGCTACGTTCCAGGGAGTTGTGACCCTAGTGGAAGCTGACCCGGCTCTCCTGAGCCACCCAGCAACAGTCTGTCGCCCTTGGGAACACGGAGCCCCAAAGCAGCCAAAGTCCCCTGTCAGGCGAATTACACAGCTCCAGGATGCCCACCGGGCTTCTCCTCTGCTTCCTGAGGATGACGACAGGGGCACCTGGACTCTTCCTCTCGCACATCCCCCTCCTCCTCCAGTGGTGGAGTCATGGCTGGGCGGGGGGCCAAGAGGGCTCTGTCTACACGTCTTCTTGTGTGAGTAATATGCAAATGAGGCTAAACGTGGAATATCGCTGAGCTTCATTTGCATCCCGAATGAGCCGCCATTTTTTTCAGAAGAGGCTCTTGCACAAGGAGGAGCGTCTACACTGCCCCTTCTTGCGCAAGAGGGTTTTTCTTGCGCAAGAAGGGGCAGTGTAGACGCTCCTCCTTGTGCAAGAGCCTCTTCTGAAAAAAATGGTGGCTCATTAGGCATGCAAATGAGACTTGCCGATATTCCATGTTTGGCCTCATTTGCATATTACTCACGCAAGAAGCTGTGAGTGTAGACACAGCCAAACAGGGACTAGTGGTTGAGCTGTGGCCTGGGGCAGGGGCTGGAGCCAGGGGTGGAATGGAACTGGCAGTAGAGCGGGCCTCATTGGCACCCCTTCCCCATCTCCCGATGGGGGCTAGACCTGCCCCGCCATGCCCCCCAGCATTCCTCCATACTCCGGGGCAGACACACCCTGGCAGTTTCGGCACCACTGGCTTAAAGGGTCTTTATCAGTGCTACTCCCCTGCCCCTCCCTGCACAGTCACTGTGTGGAGAGCGGCACTCACTTTGCACGGACACGTCGAGCACAGCGATCTGGTGGGAGGGGGCCGGGGCAGTAGCCACGCGCACGACGCAGCTGTCTCGGCTCCGGTTGAATGTGGCCTTCGCAGCTGTGCAGAGGATGGTGTGCAGGGTCTCGTTGATGGGGCTGGCCTGCAGGCAGTACCTATGCCAGCGGCCAATCTCCCAGCGCGGGCCAGCTCCAATCCAACCCTGCACTGTGATGAACTAGCCAGGGGCGGGGGCAGGTGTGTACATCTCAGCAACACCCCCGCATGAATTGGCCAAGTTGTGGATGGCCTCAAGAGACAGTGACCAACCCTCTTGGCCCAGCCGTGGTACTGCCAGGCCAGGAGTGGAGGTGTTGCTATGGCGACAATGGTGGTGGAGGAGTGGCATTATAAGGGACCTGAGTGAGACGGATTAAATCCGGCCAGGCCTCCTTTTCAGAGTCCCTGCACGTCTTCAGTCCTTCAAGCGTTTCTCCACCCAAGCCTTGCTGGCTTTGGCCTCGCAACACCCCTGTGAGGCAGGACAGAGCCAGTATTCCCAATGCACGGATGGGAATGAGGCCCAGAGAGGTTGTGACTTGTCCGCTGTCACAGGGGATGTTTGTGGCCCACCACCCAGATTTCCCACCCCCCCATGCTCAAGCCCTTGCTGCTAAGCCTGCTGCCACTGTATTGAAAAAATACAGTCGGTGGCTTGCGCTGAAGATGCTAGAATGGCAGCAAACGTTTCCTGCTTGGGGAGCGGGGTTGCTGCCTAGAGGGTGCATATGACAGAGCTACCCCTTGGCAACGAACACCCTGTTCTTGGCAACCCCCTGCCCAGACCTGACAAACTCACTACACCAAACCCGTCTCCCCAGGTATTTACGCGTAGGGGCGTGTCCTGGCTCTGGAGTCAGACTCACGCCGCGATGGACGTAGACGACTGACTGCGGTGTTGCTATTGCACGCAGGCGGGACGGCCAGGGTGTGAAAGTTAGTCCCAGGGGTGGAGGGGCGGGAATGTATTTGGGCAAATGGCAGCTGCCACCCCTCTCCGCTCAGCCAGCCAGGTAGTGCAGCTTCAGGGGGGCTATGTGACCCCTGTGCCACCCCAAACCCAGCAGTGCCCCCTCCCAAAAACGTACTTGAGCTGAAAAGGCCCTTTCTAGCAGGCCTGGGCTGGGATTAACTCCTTCAACACTGGGGAGGAGTCTAACCCCCCTCCCCCTCCTTCCCCTAAAGAAACCTCTGGGGGAGCAGGGTTGTTCTTCTGACAAACTGGCACCTGGTTCCGGCACCGCCAGCCAGCTCAGCAAGCGCCTGACCTGCAGAGTGAGGACCTGGGGGGGGGGAACCTCCGTTGGGAGCTAGGAAAGGGCGTGGCCCCATGTTTGCGTGTGCATGATGTTGTGTTCCATGGACACCACTGGCTTCTCCTGCGTTGCTGCTTGGTTCGGTCCTAACAACACGGTTTCATGACCCGGGCTGGGTGGTTGGGGGGGGGCGGGGAATTAAGGTGGCATGGGAGGGGTCCACCAGCCCTTTGGGCAGCAGGGCTGTCTGCAGAGGCCAGCTTGAGGGGCTGCTGATGCCAGGGGCCCCCTGCACACAAACGGGAGGCCGGGCAACCGGGAGGCCTCCCAAGAAACATCTGTGTTGCCTCTTTTTCCAGCGCCAAGGGCCAACCTGAGCAAGGGACCTGGGGTGCGCCCCCTCCATGCCCCAGGTGTGGGGCCTGGGGCAATCTTCCCTACTGCAGGACCCATCCCTGCTCCATTCCTCCCACAAGCCCTGCCCCTGCACCCTCCCCCGAGCAACGCGGCCTGGAGCATTGCAAGGGGCTTGGCGCGGCGGCAACCTCCCTCGGCCCACTCACTGCAGCAACGGGCACTGGAGCTTGGACGGAAGGCCAGCGTGGACATTTTTCCCGGGTGCATGTGGCGGGGGTGGAGGCAGTGGGAAGCATAGGAATTTAAAGGCAATTTTTTTTGCTCAACAATTTTGATCCCCCTCCATGTTTGGGATTTTTTGTGAAAGTATTTAGCAACCCTAATTCTATTAAAGACTAAATCATAACAGCAATAAGCATTGTACAGTGTGCAGCATTTTGTCGTGGGAGGATGCCTCAAATGCACTGTTCAGACAAGTCTCTTCAAACACAAGGAAGAAGTTTAGAAGGAACCAAGTCCAAAAAACCCTTGTGCTTCTCATGCTGGCAAAATTTAATGGAACACTTTTTTGTTACCTTTCCCTCTGATCCTTATGCCTGAAACAGGAATATTGTTGTAATAATAAAAGTTTTCTCCTTCCTTTTTATTAACCTGGCATTGGTTACTGTGTGCCCTGATTTTTATAATAGGGGTGAGATTCCCAAATGATCTTTCCCCTGATTTCTTTATCAACATTCGGGTGCTGGCAGCGGAAGTTTTATTCCCAGGATCTAGGTTTTTAAGGTTTTGGGGGAGGTTTTATACCAAAGCCTGGTAGATAAGGCTTTGGGGTACACTTGCTGGCCCCCACTTCTGCATTTGTCACGCCAGAGTGGGGAAGTAG